ACGGACTAAAAATATGCACAAAAATAAAAAGGGGCTGAAAATGGCATGGCTACTATGAACTTATTCTTTGCATTGTTTTCAATTTCACACCTGAACTCTGCAAATTAAAAAAAAAAAAACAACTTCCTGCTTTTAAAAGGTTTTTAGTGTTCAGAGATAAACTGGTATACTACAAAGATGAATATTTCAATTAAAAGTTGTGACAACATAATGTTCATTTACTTTTCAATAAAGTTTCAGTCCCCTCCATGAATCGCTACCTTATCGTGTTGGAGAGGTTTGTGTGTCCCAGGGAACCCAGGGGGTTTGTTGTCAGGGAACTAGACCCCAAGGTAGGGGTCTCCCATGGCAAATTGGTCCTGGGCTAGGGACCAGACAGGAAAGGGGGGTTGCACTGAATCATAGTTGTTATTAACCTCTCTCTCTCTTCCACAGCATGTCTTTTGTCCTGACTTCCTTCTCTCATCTCAACCGGTCGCAGCAGATGAGCCTGGTTCTGATGGAGTTTTTTTACTGTTAAAAGGGAGTTTTCCTTCCCACTGTCATCAAAGTGCTTCCTCATAGCGGGTCATGTGATCGTTGGGTTTTTCTGTAAAGAGCCTTGAGGCAACTATTGTTGTGATTTGGCGCTATATAAATAAAACTGAATTGAATTGAATTTAGTTAGGCCATCTGGGAGGGGCTCGGAGCAGCTACTCCTCCACATTAAAAGGAGCCAGTTAAGGTGTTCTGGGCAGGTCCCACCGGGAGGAGGCCCTGGGATAGACCCAGGACACGCTGGAGAGATTATATCTCTTGGCTGGCCTAGGAGCACCTTGGTGTTCCCCCAGAAATTACCAGTAACAGGCATGATCTAAATAAGTCCTATTTAATTACACAGCATCAGTACTGCCTCCTGCATGCATGTCAAACAACATGTGTCAGATAGAATAATTTATATTTATTTATTAAAACACTTTATAACCAGAAATTGCTTAAAAGTACAAGATTCACTGCCACTAGGTTGTTCTGGTTAAAAATAGCACCTCAAAAAAAATCAATTTGGCTAAAGACAGGCCACGTGGGGAGGCAACCCACAGGGAGGAGTGCCCAAGGGGTGCCACCAGTTACACACCCGTGACGTCGCACTGCAAACTAAATGGTGCTTTATAGTTGTATCCCGGTGTTTACACTCACAATGCTTAAGAGGGAACCTCACCAAACGTGTCTACTCACCACAGCCAAATAATTTTCTGGGGAAATTAATCCGATCTGCAACGCAAATGTTATCGTCGCCATCTACGACAGAAATGAGTCCCAAACACTTAAATCCTCGGATTAGACAACTAGGGGAGGGGTGAATCTTCATGCTGCGTTCACAGACACCACGCAGGAAAAGAAGATCTACAAAAGCAAGCTCACTACACCTGCGTTATGTCCTCAAACAAAATGCAGACATGTAAATGTAGTTCATAAAAACAGACAGAGCTCCAGTCTAATGAGATGCATCTTATTCAGTGTATAATGTTTATGTTCACCATTTCCCCCTGTCAAAAAAATAATAATATGTCGAATTATTATATGCACTATATATTTTTATAGTGTGCTAAATAAAAAAGGTCAGCAGTTAAGACTTCCGGATATATTTTTTACAAATAGGTCACTCTGACACATTATTATTATGTATTGTTATATATCATTATTATGGCACATGTCAGAGTGTCACAGTAAAGATTAATAAGCCTAAATAACCAGAGTCCAGTTTTTATCTTCTTGTTCTTCGTGGTCTCGTCTTCATCGTCTCCTCAGCAGCAGGAGTAGCACTGTGTGGATGATGGATGTGTTTGATCCCATAACAGCAACATCTGCCCTGAACACCACCCGGATGTCGGCAGCTGAGCAGAAGCAGAGAGCAAAGCTTATAACGGTAAACACAGAGGAAAGTTACAGAATCTGGTCGGTTTGAGTGGAAACAGCATCAGCACAGAGATTGATGATCGATTCGTCTGACGTCAGGGCCGATCGATATACTGTACTTTATTATATTTTTATTATTGAAAATGTGTTAAGGCCAAAGAAATTTCTCAGAAAGGCGAAAGTTGCACATCTTTGACTCTTCACAGATTCTGTTCTTCAGTTTACAGTGACGCTCTTCATCAGTGTGGACTTCCCTCTGACATTCACCTTCACAGACGGACCCACCTGTGCTCCAGGTGTATTCTCCGCCCACAGGTCCTCCTCCTGTTACCTGGAATGTCGCGCCTCACTTTGGCACACAGTCTTGTGCAACCGGAGAGTTACAGCCCCGTAACTGAAAATCACGTGATTTTAGTAAATGAAACCAGTAACCGTGTGTGTCTATTGCCGCTCACCTGTGGAGATAAACGTGGCAAAGATGGGCAACAGCGAGACAAAGAAAAGAACGACCGCAGACTACACAGGACCCCAGAGCAACCAAGCGAGAGTTAAAAGGAGCTTAACTTTAAATCCTCAGAAGAGAAAACAGTCCGTCCGACTGAAAAACCGCCCTGCTAGTATAGATGGAAGCACCGGGCTTTGGGATGATTTTGATCCCTCAAGGCGCAGATACTTGGAAACTGACCTGGACCTTTACCACGAACTGCAGAACCATCTGGAAAATGCACGGCGGAGGATGAGAGATAAGGGCAAAAAAGACGTTTCTGGAGGTCTGGACGCCAGTTTGGTGACTGGAGAGGAGAAATGTTACGACCCAAACGACACCACCCTTACATTTGTTGAAGGAGAAGATGATATGGACTGTAAGTAGTCAAAGAACCAGATAAATACTTTCAGATTTGACAGCATGGGCTTAAAAAGATTTTTATAAGTTAAGTCTTCCTTTTTGTCTCATAGTTGAGGGCAGAGATTATAAATCTCTGAGAGCCCGGATGTCCTGCGGTCATTCTGTCACCCCCATGTCTCTCACCAGCTGGTGTCACCATTTGTTGGACCAGGTACCACATGTTTATTATTAATCAGATTCTGAAGTATTAGTATTAGTATCCATTGTCTCTCATTGTCCTTCTTGCACATTTATCTTCCCAACTTTCCACATAAATTATGAAATTTACTTTGCATGATTTAAAATCTATTTCTAAATCATTTCTAAATCTATTATAAACTCATTGGCCAATTTGTTAAGTACACCTTGTTAGACTTGCTTTTACCTTCAGAGGTTTTGAAGGCAAAGTTTAAAAGAATATAATTCGACACGGTGGAAACATTCCTTGGATGTTTTGGTCTATATTGACTCAACAGCATCACACAGTTGCTGCAGATCCCGTGATGGGAATCTTCCATTCCACCACATCCCAAAGTACTGCATTGAATTGAGATCTGGTGGCTGGTTGCAAAATGGGCAAGAAAATAGCCCACGTGAATTGTGGCCTCAGTTTCCAATTCATAGCTGGCAGGTGTGGTCTTCTGCTGCCCATCTGCTTCAGGGTTCAGTGTGTGGTGCACTCAGAGATGCTCTTCTGCATAACTTGGTTGTAACAAGGGTTGTTGCCTTCCTATCAACATAACAAAGTTTGGCCATTCCCCTCTGACCTCTGACATCACCAAGATATTTTCTGATGCTCACTGGATATTTTCCATTTTTTTATTCTCTGTAAACTCTAGAGTTGGTCAGCAGTAGATCAGTCCGTTTGGCACCAAAACCCATGCCACTTTCAAAATCCACTAAATTAAATTTCTTTCTCGTTCCGATGTTCAGTTTGAACCTTGGCAGCTTCTTTTGACCATGTCAACATGCTTAGATGCAATTAACTGATTTCTTTTTGATCCCTCAGGGTGAGAGCCGATTTGTGTGCGGCCAGCCTGACTGCAATGCTGAGTGGTCACATGAAGAGGTCTGTAAAATGGCTCTTCTGACTCCTGCAGAAATCAAATACTTTGAAAAAAAGATGCTCAGCAGCACTGTCATGAATTACCTGGAGGTCAGTGATGTATCAGCAAGCCGTGGGAAATCGTGAACACAACATCGGCGTCAGGGATGTGAGGAATGTGGGATCCTGGCTGTGCCTCAGCCTAAGCCCATTCAAAAAGGGGCTTACTGGTGGTGCATGATGGCACTAAGAGTAAAAACATTTCCTGTCCTCGCTGCAGGGTGGAGCTCTGTTTTGCGTGCCTGAGGCTCACTGCAGACCGTGCTTCACCTTCTAATGCTTGTTCACTGGTGTAGCTCGAGGACAACCCTTTAAGGCAGGCTGTGTGGGCTTCAACATTTAATGGTTTGATTTTGTGATTTCAAGAAATGAAACACGTTTTGTACTTTTCTATTATTTAAAAATATCTTTTGGATGTTGTTTTTCTCATTTAAATGGGATAAGATAGATCGACTCTTATTAGCCGCTGACAGTATTTGAAAAAGGCTTGAAAACTGGTTAGAGACTGGAACCAGCTGTGTTTCCAGTCCACTGTGACTTTTTTATATTTTCTCTCTGATGACCTCACTCTGACGCTGCTCTCCTCTCTGATCTAGCCACAAATAAAGAGATGATATTTATTAATTATAACAACAACACAACATTTTTTTTGCTATTTTTTAAAGCAGTGAGAGAATAAGTTAGAATAAACATTTGTTGTAATTTAGCAAAAACTAATTTTTACTAATAAAGAATATTGGTTGTTAAACTAGACCTCGTGTTCAACACAACCTGCTTGTGTCTCGTTTTCAATATCCCTGTGTGTCTGAAAGCATAAATACATGTATGAAGACAGTATGGACATGTGTTTGACAGTTTCTGATTAGCCTGTGAAAGAGGACATCACTGCTTTCAGTTTTGTGGCACAACATTAACCTGGGAAATCACTGCGTCCACCTTCTGGTAAACATAAAGATTGGGATAAAGGGCTGCTTCAGAAATTGTCTTTGGTTCATTCAAATGTTTAAGCATTATTTATTTTCCTTTACTTGTTTGATACATATTATGCTGAAGCATTTTTTCTTTAATTGTTTGTCTTTAACAACTTCAGGCATGTGTATCACTGTGCAAAAGTCTTGAGCCACCATCATTTTTGCTCTCAGCTTCTGTTGGTGTGAGCCAAACTATATTCTACAGGCTGAGATTTAAAAAGCACAAGTTTAATTCATTCATGTTCGTGTTGGGTCGCAGCACTAGGAAGCAGCAGCTTTCTGCCAAACTGGTTTCAAAGTATCTGTCAGTTTGCCAGCAGGTGTTTGTTCTGTCACGTCCCTTCGTGATGAATGACAACAAAGAACCTTGAGGTGGGAAAACAGGCTGACTTTGTGTCCTGTAAGTCTCAGCAAGTCTGGGCACGCGTTTTTCCAAGGCATGTCATGACATTCATATCTACATTTGCATCTTGTGGAAATAATATGCTCACTTACAATAACAATCACAGGTCATTTGTCATCTGTGTCACTCCTGTGAGATGACAAAACTGTTCTAGAGGAAGTGTTTTAAAGGAAATTGCTCGTTCGATTCTGCTGTATCATCAGTAAGACTATCTCAAAATTACTGAACCTAAATGTTCAAAAGTAAAGATGGGGATAGTTTGGAGGTTTAATCAGTGCAAAAAATCAAAATACAGTTAAAAATTTACAATTTGTTACCATATATTTGATTATTTTACTGTTTACCCTCATCCTCTTTGAATTTACATTGTATTTAATGCCATAAACAAGTGTAGGTTAGAGAAATGTCCATGACAGGGAAATGATTTTGATGAACGAAACTAACATTTAGTCGTCACAATCTCATTTGACAAAAATAAAAACTGATTTATGGAAGTATAAATCCAGCTTCTCCATCTCTGTGGCTTGGGTCTTCCCCTGCTGATAGAGAACTCCACAGCGAGACAATCAAAGGTAGAAAATAAAAACACCCCAGGAAATAAAAGTAAAAGCAGTTTTTTAATTCACTTTAAAATTAAAAATTTAGTCTTTGCCCATTCCTAAGAACAGGCTTTCTACAGATGACCCTGCTGGTCAGGGGCCACCATGCGTGTTCTGAACATACATGAGCGACATTTCCAGCAGGACACCATCAGTGCAGCCAGCAGACACGCAGCAGCAGTGAAGCACAGCGCTGTGGATACAGGTGGGTCTGTGGGTGGTCTGAGGGGAGACCAGGTCTCATCATGGGCTGAGGTAGAAATCTCACTACACAGACAAAGAGAAGTTAAAATGAAGTATATGTTGCTTTAACGGACGCCGGGGCATGTTTGAAGTTGTACTCACCATCTGATGCATGCAGGAAGTGTCCTGACATCATCTAAGGGAGGAGTCACATCAGGGTACAGACATAACCTCCTGTCAGGGCAGAAAACTGCACCATTGTATCCTTTAATCTGATGCAAAAATAAATCATTTTTATATATGAGATGTTGACTGTATTATCCATTAGGATGTTTTTATACTAAGATGCTCTTAATCATATAAATGTGGTAATAATAGAAACATCTGTATAAATGAAACTGTTTATATGCACAAAAACTGCAAGTTTTAACTCTGAATTAATGCTCATCCAAAAACACATAACACTGTAATAAGCCATTATGTTATTATACCTGAATGTTGCCCCCTGCTGGACAGTCCACCCACTCAGAGCCAAACACCTGGATCTGATACCTGTTCGGTCCGGTACACCTGTGCCTATAACACCGGCCCTCCACAGAGCTGCTGACCTGACTCTGGTTCTGAAAGACAAACGAGAAGTTACAAAGGATTCAAAAGAAAGGGTGAAGAGAGTACAGGGGAGGACCACACACACACACACACACACACACACACACACACACACACCTGTGTGCTGAGGCTGGAGAGAAAGCATCTGCTGTCAAAGCCAAAACTCTCCCCGCTCAGCTCATCTTCAGCTGTCCACCTGCTGCTTTCTTTTTTCCAGCATTCACTCTGAAGTGCGAGATTCAAAACGTGTACTGAAGATAAATACATAATAATAATAATAATAATAATGTCCTCTCATCTTCAGTGTTTAGTGTGAATGCACGAAGATACTGAGCTTACTCCATTCTGCAGGGGTTTATACACTCGACAGCCCTCCAGGTATTGGTCAGTCTGGCACTCCCCCTTGTGGAGATGAAGAAAATGACATCCACGTCCACTGAGAAGTACAAATAACACAAACATTTAGGACAAAGTGACAGAATTTCTGTATGAAAATATATGTTAACACTAAATTACTTTAATTTACCTTCCAGTGCAGAAGAAGGATGAGGAGTTATCTTGGCAGGTTGACAGGGAGCCAAACATGGCTCCTTCACCTATTAATAAGTCATAAAAAACTGTTTATCATTTAAAAAGTATGATCACAGAGTGTCTATGTTGAGCTTTTGTTAAGTCTTCTGTTATGATGATGCAGTTTTCAGTGCATTTTCTTCATATTTCAGTTTCCTTACCGTCTCCCCAGACCAGACTCTGAGCCCGGCTCAGGTCGACGGTGTACCACCCCGTGTCCTGTAATGCAGCTAAGGTCACTGGGTCGATCCGAACTGTGCTAGGATCCCCGAGCACTGCCGACATAATGGAGCCCTGCAGGACCCGGGACTCCCAGTGTGAGGACACCCTGCCTGGAGCTGCGTCCTGAGGGGTGAAAGCACCGTTAGGTTTCCTTTTTAGTTTGTTAAAGTTTTCTGCACTTGAAGCTGTGCAGTACCAGGTTCTCCAGTGGCCCTCCCAGCTCCGGATCGCTGGACACCAGGTGCTTCTGCAGGGCTGAAATGACGGACGGGGTGTAAATCCTCATGTGGCCGGATCCGTCAGAGTGACTCGCTTTGCCTCGAGGAGAACAATCAGCACCCACTGCAGGATCCAGCAAAGAAATCGCTGATAAAGAACCACCTTCTGACCAAAGCATGTGATCTTTAATGAAGGTCAGACTCAATACACTCTAACTTGTTTTAATGAAATATTTTTTTCTTCATTTTAATCAGATTTGAGTGTTCTTCTATGTGCGTTACCACTTAATATTTGCATTTTTAATTCCCAATTTTTGTTCTTCGTCCACACTTTGCACAGTTTCAAAGTAAAGTAAACAAACTTTTGAAGACACCGGCCCATGTGTGGAAGGATGAATGCTTATATAATCTCAATCGTCGTTAGATTTTATTATAATAACCTCACTCACACACATTAAGAAAAATGAATTTTTACACAGTTATTACACATTCACTAATGTTTGTTAAATTACAGTTTTAAAAAAGGATAAAGTGGTGTAAATGATGTGTTTAAAAACCTTGGGAAGAGGAGGAGGAGTAACAGTCTCTCCAGGTGCTGAAGAGATCCTTAGAAAATCCAAGTGCATGGAACAATTCATGAATGACAGTCTGGAGAACAGAAGAGTATAATCTGTCATCATGATCCATCCTTCTCTGTTAAAACAGCCACAGAAACCTCACTTTTCACATCATGTATCCATAAAAGTAATCGTACCTGTACTGTAGTCTGGTGGCTGTATGTGGCTCCTGTCAGCCGGTCCCTGCAGATGACCACCACCCCAGCTACAGGTCGCCCGTGACTGTCCGTCTGGCAGTGAACAGCGTAGGCCAACACACTGGGCTGAGGAACAAGAAGATACACTGAGGAACAGGTGAAAGCCACATGGGCGAAGTTTAATTTAGACGCTTTAAAAAAAATTCTTATAAGAAAGTGGAGAAATATATGATCAAATAGAGCAACAATTTACTGCTGTTTTCAATCATGAATAGAAACTTAATGAAGAAATGTCAAAATGTTTTAGGACTGCTGGGATTTGAATGGAAAAAAATGAAGTAAAACTAACTTTTAATGGCTTTATAGCAAAGATTTTTCTGTTATCTGTAGGTTTGCACCTCTGCTCTGCACTTGTCTGTGTCCTGTACATGGAGGTAAAGCAGGAAGTCGGTATCAGGGACTCCAGCACCTTCAGGTCTGAGAACAGTCCTTTTGTGTGAATCGGCCTCGGGGTAAATATCACATCCAGCCAGGTGGTCGTCTGGGATCTACTGATGTTGGCACTGTATTATTCAGAAGCAGCAGTCTAGTACATGCTGTGTGTGGCAGCAAAAACATTTGATACTCACGGTGGCATCCAGGCAAGTTTCATTTCCGTAGTTTTTGTTGGCTCTACCACACCTGGGAGGATAAAAAGTCTGCTTATTTCCATTTATTTGCATAAGTTGACAGCTGATAGAGCTCAGATATACGGGACAGTACGAGTGAGCAAATACAAACCTGTTGGTGAGTTTAAATACATAGTTACTTGCACTAATGTGTACATTTCTTTTAAAGAGTGAGAGCATTCATTAACTTTGAAACATGGTGTGTTAGCTGGAAGCAGCTAACAGAAGGTTAGCAACAATACTCAAATGATACTCAGCTTTTATTAAAAAGTCGTCTGGATATTTTCTCTTTTCTGGATAATTATCTGTAAACTCTGGTTTTGTGGTTTGTGGGAAAAATATAGAAATATTTAGACAGGCTGCCTGACACCAACAACCTGCCACCTTCAAAGTCACTTAAATCACCTTTCCTCCTCGTTCTGATACTCAGTTAAATTTCAAGAGTGTCCTTTACCAATGTATACATGTCTAACTGCATGTCATATGATTAGCTGGTTGGATTTTTGTGTTGTATATAAAATAAGAATATAGGGGAAAAATAATTTTAAAGACTCAAATCTTGCCAGAGATGTTTGTTTGAGGGACTGGAGCTACACTCGTGTGTACTTACCTGTTGTAGTTGATAGTATTTGAATCCCTCCAGAGAAACTTGCAGTATTTGTTGATGTCTCTGCTGAGCAGTAAAGGGCCCGGCACTCTGTTCACTGTTAAAATGTCAGCAGTTTATGAGTGTGTGTGTGTGTGTGTGTGTGTGTGTGTGTGTGTGTGTGTTTTCAGATCCAAGATTTACTATATTGTCACTGAGCACTACCTCAAAGACACAATGCAGAATGAAATTACGCTGCACAAGCTCACATAAAGACATAAAAATGTCAGCGTTATAAAGTCAGTGTTACTTATTTAAAAAACACAAACACAAATATTCAGTTATTGCACAAGACAATGTTGATTGCATTAAAATTTCTTTGTTGTCAGATTTGTGGAGTGTAATAATCTACAGCACACCAGCCGTTTCTGTTCAACAGTCACCTGACAGTAAAGAAGACACCACTCTCACAGCTTCTTCCACCGCTGCCTCCAGCCTTCCTTTCTCAGCCTCTGATAGGCTGTCGCTCTCTCTCGGAATCCAGGTCCGGATCCTCATTGGCTGTGGTGAGGTAGGAGTAGGTGAGCCAGATTTTCCCAGGATGCTCCTCTGCTCCTCTGACCTTCTGAGCTGCTTGGGTGGGCTGTCTGTAGCTCTGACCACTCTGACCTGAACCTGAAGCTCATCAAAGATGCACCTCTGCAGGGCTCCTGGGAGCTCCACCACGACCACCATTACCACCAGCACCATCCCCACCCAGAGGTTCGAGGATGGAGGGGAAGCCATAATTATGGTGGAAACCTATTTCAGGGTAACAGTGAGGAAGAGGAGATGATGTAATGTTTCAGATGGCCGCTGAGGATCCCAAAATATGGCCGTGAATGTATTTGATTTTATTTATTTCTGTCTTTGTGTCATGTATTTGTACAGATTATAAAAAAGGATCAATAGTATTATTCTGACAATTTGGGGTTAACCGTAACATCATTAACTCCAGCTCCTCCTCTGTCTCCAAACCATCATAGCAAATCTTGCTGCCATGTTGCAAACAGAACAGTTAATAAAGTAGCTGTAAACACTGAGTTCTTCTGTCTGCAGCTTTGAGCTTTCTTTGGTCAGTAATGACCAATCAGAGGTCCACGGAAGCAGCTACATGGATAGATTCACTCAAACTATTTAAATAATAGTAAATTACATTTTACAACTTTCAGAGTCTCTAGAGAACACGTTTGGGCTGGCACGATTAACTAAAATAAATACTTCATCAGTAGAAATAGTTAAAACAAACAAATCAAGGTTTTGAGGTTTCAGCTCACTAAAAGTTGGCTAATAGCTGCAACTGTTTAATAAACATACTGAACAGAAAGTGGTTACTAAATGAAGTGAAAAGCTGTTAAAGAAGAAAGTAGTGGATGGAAATCATAATGAACAGCTATGGATAAGCAAGTTTGCTAAGCACAAACACTAAGCAGCAAACAGGAAGCAGTCCAGATCCTGTTTGATGCTGGTTCAAGTTTAAACATGAAAGGCAGCGATGAAGAAAGAGTGCATGAGTCAGTCTGACAGAAAGGTTGGGAAACCTCATCATGAATAATCTGAAGTAAGGTTTTTCCTCGAACAGGTGTGTAACTGGACTGTGTGGTGCAGGGTTTTGTAGAGTGTGAGGTCTGTTAAACAGGAATGTAATGCAGAGCGTTTAGATCTTGCTTTCTTTAGATGTAAAGGAGATTGAGTCATCATTGAGTCGCCAAAACAGAGGTTATCGTGTTGAAACTTGCACGTGGGGTGCTGTGTAGAAAACCGCTTCAATAATTAAATGGAGTCAGTATTATTACCTGGTAGACGGCTGCGACCTCAGTCCATCTGTGGAGTTTCAGAGCTCTAAAGTAAAAGCATTTTCCTTTTATCCTCAAAACCAGAGCAATGAGCACAACTTCTGCATTCCCACCAAGAACAGCTCTCTCCTTCTTTCTGTGGGGAGTCTGTGTGAATTACCACAGATCCTTTGAATACAGAGCACAAAGAAACATCTCTGACATGTCTCACTGAGGTGTCAGGTGGCACCCCCACAGCCGATATCCCCAGAAAGAAAACACAAGAAAGACAAAAAATATAAAACTAAAAGTGCAAATCGTTTAATCTCAGCCATATTTTTTACTTATATACAGTGAAGTTGACCCAAAAAAAATCCCCCCCAAATATCTGTAAATTCAAAACTGTCCCTCCCCAAAAAATACATTCAACAAAGCAAAACAGGAACAATTTAAGGAAAGAGAGACAAAACCTGCTAAAAGAAAAAAAAAAGACCACAAAACTCGTAATAATATTAATATTAATATTACAAATGGCACACCACAAGTCTGCTGAGTCGAAATGTGACCGAATGCTGTTGAGTCTCGTCAGATGTGAGGTTCTTTTGTGAATTTGGAGGCCCCCCCCCCCTCGACCCTTTTTATCACTAGGGTGCCTCATCTTCCTGTGCACACCTACACACGTCATAAAATCAGGCACCAAAGAGATTGTCTTTTGATACATTTGCTTTTTGTTTTTTTGAAGGTTACATTCATTCACCGGGGGAAGAAGTATTTAAACACGCAGTAATGTTGGAATCGATGTGCACTAGAACGAGGGTATCCAAAAAGTTATTGCCAGCTTGAAGAGTACACATGCAGTTTTTTTTAATCCATTTTGGAGTGAAGTCACCATGACGACGTGAGGAAAAAGTGACCCTCATTGTGTGCGTGTGTGTTTCTGCATGCAGTGTGTGTTCAGGAATTCTCAACATCCTTGAGGTCTCTGCAGGAGGCTCCTTAAAGGCACTTAAAAAGGGGGGATTTGTTTCGTGATATATCATGAGACTGGGTGCAAGTGAAGACACTCCTCATGTGCAATCACACTCCGCTGTCTACGCGAGACTAAAACGCAGTTGCATTCACACAGTCGCAGTCACACAAACACAACAATTTCTATTATAAGAGCTATAATCATTCAACCTGACAGTAGCCTGCCTCAGTATCTGGATAGGGAAGATTCTTCTGTGCAAAAAAATAAAAGTTCACCTTCTACGTGCAGCCCAGCGTTCAGTAAGTGCTCACGCATAATACTGCGCTTCTTCATCAGCCGTGCCGTTCGTCTGCATTTTCTTAAGGAAGTCTTTTTTTCTTTCTTTAAAAATACTCTATTCATATATGTCAGCAACGCAAAGCGATTTAAAAAAAAGAAAAAAGGCACCAGACTGGCACAGAGAGGAAGAGTCCCACCGCCGGCCGCTCCTGTGTTTCAGTTCAAACGAATGTGGAAAGACTGATGGGAGGTAAAGTAAGGGGGAAGGGGTGGGAAGGGGTGGGTGAGGAAGTTGGTCAGGTGAGCATGGGCACGTCGTCTTCTGAAGTGTTGTCCTCCGAGAGGGGGATGAGCAGCACATCGTCGTCCGATGAAGAGGAGGAGGAGGAGAAGGAAGGCGAGGCAGAGAGGGGCACGTAGTTGGTGGAAGAGGGCGAGGCTCTGAAGCGGGAGATGCTCAAGCCTATCGTGTGGAAGATGGAGGCCAGAGATGGGCTACTGGGAGGCACGGCAACAGGGGGAGTGTGGGGGGCGTCCACAGGTGGAGCTGGGGGTGCGTAGGGAGGGGGAGGGGGGAAGGCGACAGGAGGAGCTGAAGGCAGCGGCAGTAAAGGAGGCGGAGCTTCCAGCTGGTGCTGCGCTGGCTGTGCCAACAAGCCGAGTTTCTGGGCCACCGGCTGGTTGACCGCCTCCACGGCTGATGGGGAGCTCGCGGGCGTGGAGCGAGCTGCTTCTTGGCCTGATGTAGCGCTGTCTGACTGCTGCTGTTGCTGCGCCTGCTGCTGGTTGGAGCTTGACGACTGAGTCTGCCTGGATGCGGATCTGGGGATCAGACCCCACCTTCTCATGCGGCGAACAGCCCGGCGGATAAATCGGGGCCTACGTCTGCGGTGTGGGGAGCTGGCGGCATCCTGGCGAAGCAGCTGCAGGATTCCTCTCAGAGAAAGAGTCGAGGTCTGACAAAGAAACACAGAGCAGATTGTTTCAACTACCTTCAGCAGCTCGTGTTCAACATCCTAAAATCATTATTAAAAATCATTAAACCTGCTGAATTTATTTACGCGACACTAATCAAAGTTTGAGCTTAGTGTAGGCAGCTTCAGCTAATCCCATCAGGCAGAGCCAGCCACTTTATCCCTCCGCCTCCACTGCCTCAGCTGTCTCACCAAGGACTAATAAAAGAAGCTCAGAGTAAACTTGCACAGTAACAGCACATTAGCCTCATCTTAACACTCCTCCAACTTCAGCCCACATCCAGCTGGGGATCAATAAGGCTGCTATAGATGAGCTTTAAGACAGAGAGCACTACTACACATTAGAGTGTGTGGTTTAATGTAGTAACAGCTATCGGCTTTTCTGCGTTTAATTACATTTATTAAAGCCCTTAAATCAAAAAGCCTTCAATAAGATGTTGATTTGTAGGTTTTAACACATTAATTAAAATTGAAGTTAGTTAATCAGTTTTTCCTGCTGAAATTTCAACACTTGGGTTTTTTAAAAAACGCCTCTAAATGCCTTAAATGTATATTGTAACTCTGCAGGACAGGCTGCAGTCAATCACATGGGTTCTTTAAACAAATGAGCATGATCTAAAGTCCTGACAGGATCCTGGATTGATGAAATCCTGACAGGTGCGTCCATGCAGGCAGCTAAAAATCTCTGGCGCTCTGCTCTCTCACCTCATTGGGGTTTTCTATGGGGAAGTCCTCGACTGGGGGGATGATGCCCTGTGCGATCAGCTGCCCGTAAGAAGGCGGGGCCTGCTGCTGGATGAGCTCCGCCTCGTGGCGGTTGATTGGCGCAAACATGCTGTGAGAGGATAGAGGCTCTTTTAGATGCAGTCACACACATTGCAAACTTGCAAAGCACATTTTGTTTTTGTTTTGAAGCATCACGCAGATCCACATAAAGTATACAAATATAAAGTCTAGAAATAGATTTGACTGTAAGAGGTACTATTAAAGGTTAAAAAAAAGGTAAGCTTTTAATACAGTGCAGGTTATTGGTTCCTGTTGTTGTACATAACTCAAGCATTTAGCTGACAACAACAACAACGAACAGGCTGTTTTTTTGTTTTTGTGTGGAGTGTACTGTCAGTGTCGTAGGAGGCTGTGCTATCCATCTGAGAGTTACTGTCTGGCAGTTCTGGCAGCAATTAAAGCCAGAAGTTAGGAAAACAATGTCTGCATCTCCTGACTCATCATTTGAGATTATCAGCACAATATATGAGTCAGTCTTTTCTTCTTTAAAAGTGGCAAGAAAGCCTCATTATGCTTCATCAAAGGAACGAAAATAAACTAAAGCAGCTACTTTGTAGAGCAGAAGAGCTTCGGCTGCAAACGTCAAACAAAAACGCAGCAGAACCATTCAAAGACTTACCTGTACTCCCTCGTCCTGAGCGAGTACAGCTTACAGGTACAGCCCATGGCAATGACCAGAAGTAGTCCGCAGACCAGGCTGCCCACCGTTGCCGCGGTGATGACCTTGCGGGGCAAGATTACCGTGCAGTTGAGCTCGTCTGTGCCGTCCTTGCAGTCCACCTGGCCGTCGCAGCGCCAGCTCTCATACACGCACCTGCAGAGGGAACAAAGAGCCGTTTGTTACCAGAGCAGGCTGGAAGAAAATGAGTGGCAGGTTCAGTTTCATAGAAAACATCAGACGCCGCCTGAATTAAGACTCACAATAAAACCACAACGCTGTAAACAAGGAGAAGTGAAACAGGCTGAGTTAAAAGGATCCCTACGCTTAAGCTCAAAACTTTCCCATACACACTTTGTGCTTTTGTTACAGAGCGAGCTGCATTTAGAAAAAGGACGTTGGCCTATTTTAAGACACTGTGGCTTTTGATAAAACATGCAAACAATGGCAACTAAACATTGCACTATTGCAGAACTACACAATAAATAGCAACAGCATCATTAAAAATAATCACAATAATGTAAAACCATAATAAACAGCTGTATATAAATATAACCTGTATCAATGCTTTTTGAAGGAATGCAGAATCTCTACTGTCAACATTGCATATTTATTTCCTCATACGTAACTCTGTGCCTGTCACACACTGCTGCAGGATGGGTGATATTTCTACAGAAAAACAGCAGAACCACAAAAACCACAGCAAAGCCAATTTAAACTCTAAGATGGTCATATGTCACATACAGACACGCCCGAGCCTGAAACTCCACCAACCTGAATGGTTATGAAACAAAGCAAAACAAAAACAGCAGCACCCGTTTCCACGGTGAGTAAAATGAGCATGTACAGGGTGAGAACGCCCTCTGACACAAACCCTAGTGCACCCCCTTACTCCTTTTATGTTGTGTGTGGAGCTGTGTGACACAGGTGCACACTGACCTGTCGCTGTCACAATGAAAGGTCCCCGGCTGACACACGGTGCAATCCCTCTCGTCGCTGCCATCAGCGCAGTTCAGCTGGTAGTTGCATCTCTCCGTCAGTGAGTAGCACTGCGGCTTGCTGGTCGCTGTCGTCCTCTGTCCTGCCATTCCACAGGGAAAGTGATTCGGACTGCAGTTCCTGCAGCCCTCCTCGTCCTTTCCGGTCTCGGGACAGTCCCACTTCCCATCGCAGTGTTGCTCCTGTGTAAAACAACCTCCTGCCGCTCCCCCGCAACGACCTTCCCACGGAGGGCAGTAGCCCTTAACATGAAACGTGGCGTTAAAGTTGGAGTTCTCTGTGCCAAGAACTCTTTTATACACCACTGACATCACGCCGGTGTTGGATTCAACTTGGACCGATTTGGAATTGGAGGAGCTGGTAATCTGTGAAAATGCAGAAGGGTTTTCAAAAAAAATAAAAATAAATAAAAAGAGAAAAACATTTGCCAGTAATGAATGTTTGGGTTGGGAAACTCACGATTTTAATAATGTCTCCTTTGCCTTCCTCTCTGTTGTAGATAGTGAGTCGGTCCCCAAAAGCTAGCGTCAGCTTTTGCAGTTCCAGACTCAGCGGCCTGGAGTCCTCAGGATCCAAAGTCCAAACACAGGACTGACTTTGACCCTGACAAGCTGGAGGGGAGAAGGTCCCATAAAAGGTCTGAAGAAGCCCTCCACAAGGACAGTCACAACCCAGTTCGTCGTTGTCATCAGATTCTTCATCAAGACACTCCACCTGCCCATTACAGCGCCAGGAGTGGGGAAGGCAGCGACCCCCGTAGCATTTAAAAGATGTTTCTGGGCAATCGCCTTCATATGGATCTGTACAAAGGGAGGAAGATAAAAGGAACATTTAGATAATAATTGGGGGAAAAAAAGAGCTGGAACTGCAAGCAGGCACATGTCAGGACGTCATACCTCTGGCATAGTTCAACAGAAATGATGACACAGGGAACATATGAGGGAGGAAGTGGTGCATCACTGTAATATTTCCCCCTGGGAGCTCGATTGGCTGCGGCAACTTAGAGCCACACAGGATGATTGGATCACCTCCAGCCGACGAGTTTATAGACACCCATTCTTTCTTGCAGCGGACAGAAAACTGAGAGAAGCTGTGGAAAGATTTGTAATAAGAGAAAGTTTGTATCAGTGAACAGAACCCACAGTTTCTCAATCGCAGACACTGAATCTCAAAAACTTTTTGTTTTTGTCTTTATTTCCATATCTGGGTCATTCATTACTTCATAAACGATAACAGAAAATGATCAGGCAATATTAAGCATTTATATACTTTTAATAAAGCAAAAACAATCAATGCATTGCACAACTGGTATATTTCCTCTGTTAATAATTATCCCAGGTCACCTGATTTGCGGTAAAATAATTGGGAGTCAATTATTTAACGTCTTCGAGCTTTCAAAGTGTCATCTCCTTTATGTGCCACCTTTGAGCAACCGTACCTGAGAACGATCGGCTCATCTTCTGGACCCGTGATGATCCAGCCGTCAGACATTGAGCCGAAGCAGAAGGACCAGCTGTGGTAAACAGAACTCCTGATCACTCCCACCTTATCGTCCACCACCTGAAGGGAGCGCCCACAGTGGGCTGTGATAAACACAAGAAAGTAGAGTTAATAAAAGCAGTTCCTGGTTTGGCGAATAAATTAAGTGTTGTTGTTGTTTGATGTTGAACCTGTCAGGTGTGAAGAAAATGTAAATGTAAACGTCACTAAACCATGAATGGTGTTGTTTATTATCTGTGGGTTTGAGGCATATTCATTTTCATAACATGATGAAACATGCAATGACTGGTTTTCCTTACATGAGCTGAGAGCAGGCTCAAAACGGCTCCATGCTGCAGAGGAAATAAGCAAAAAGAGAACAGAGCATGTGCTTTATTATCGCCACTCACACAGACTGTAAATGCTGTATGACACGAAAAGTTCAAACATGACCTTTGGTTGATAAACATTTAAAGCAGCCACCTAAGAGAGATACACAAACAGCCAAAAACTCACTCACTCACCTGTTATGCAGAAAACCAGGAGGGCAGGGAAGCTGTAACTGATTTTCATTGTGGTAATGTTTCTTTTTTTAATGTTTAAAAATGTTTTTTAATAAAAAGTTAAGAGGGGGGGGGGGGTAAAAAAGAAATATTAGAGAAGTGCCATGGCAGGAGGTCTTGTTCAAGAAGACTTCGCCTGTAGAGAAAAAGAAAAGATGAGTGAGACACATCTTTGATCTGGGTGAACGACTATCAAAGTTTGTCTGGACGACAAATGAGAAACACAAAAACATCTGAGCCAACACTGGCTATTTTAATTTGTTTATTATCCATCGTAGTCATCATAAAATAGCCATTTCCGCAATCAAATCCACAATAACTGCTTCTCTGAAACAATCAGCTGTCGGCAGCAGTTATAATGAGTAAGATTTTAAATTAAGGAGTAACGTTTAGATGCTCCATTGTTCATTAGGCGTTTGATGTGTTTTCATGCCGGAGCAACTTCCTCATGCAACCCCCTTCCCCAAAGGGGATTTGTATCTCTTCCTAGCATCAAACCGGCAATCGTTCCCTTGTTAGGTGCAGGTGTAAACCACTAGAGCATGTGTTTAAGAGTAACTTAAACTATACTGTGAGTAATGCATGCTGTAGATATAGCAGAATATAGTCATATGTAAGCTGACGGTGGAGCAGAATTAAGTGTCATCCCTGAACTGAGTTTATAACTAGTAATAAACTGGGCGTCCATCACTTCTTATCTTCATATAAGGATTACAACATTTTTAATTCTATAGTAATATTACACATACTACATTTTATAAAGTTCATTATTTATATTGAAAATGCTTTAAAACTACCTTAGATCATTTGTTACAAGGTACTTTTAAGATAACCACAATTACAAAAATGACAGCAGCGGAAAAAAGCCTCTGCGTTATGCAACACACACACAAGCACCAGCATGTATTAATACACACGAAAATAATCAGTTACTGAGGAAGTATCAAGGCAGGAAAACTCAGCAAAGGCCCCTTGAACACAGATGTTATTTTGATCTTTATTTACACACAGTCAGACGTAACACCCGACACACACACAGCGATTTCCTCCCTGTAATCTTCTCAACAATGACGCCAGAAACGCTCCCATTTCCGAGAAAAAAAACCCGTGAAAACTAACACTTTCCTCCCTGTTTCTTCTTCCCACTAAGATAAAACTATACCGAGATCGAGTTCTTCTTGATTAAAGTCATATTTATGTCCATACGTGTTAAGATTTCGACCACAGATTAGGTAACGCCACAGTTTCGGTTTGGAGAAAGGAGCAGCTGCTCTCCTTTACAGCTTTAACAGCTAGTTCCCAGCCTAGCTAAAGGCTAACGCCAAATCTCACTGCTCGCGTCGTTTAAAGGGCATTTTTCAAACCGCGACACCCCCATAAAAGCTCTGTGAGGACAACACGAACGACTTAAACACACAAACCAACTAAAATATAGAGTCCAGAAGCAGAAATAACACAAGTAATTCATAAAAAAGTACAGAGCCCTTACCATGTCGGTCGGCCTTTCTTGTTGACAAGTTCGAAGCTACTTCCGTATATCACAACTCGTGACGTAGGGCAAGGAAGGCGGAGCTTGTCATGCTAAAACCGGAGCCGCCGAATGGAGCTGCAGGTTTACTACAGCTTTAATCCTCATTCATAAAAATGTGTTTCTCTGTATATATATATAATTTTAAATATCAAGCGGTTATGCTGAATTTAAAACAAACTCATAGTGTTTTTTAATATAGCAAATTAACGCGTGCCTACAAACTACATTTGCTGATTGGACACGGTCTTAAAAGGTGAAATGTGCATTTGTTAACACAAGGTGTCAGTATCAGCTGTCACAAATATCCGACACCAGGTTTAATTCATAAAAATGGAGTCTGATTTGAATGAACTTTATTCTGCTGTCAAACTTCACCAGTGATGCTAGAAGAAACAGGGAAGTGAGAAAAGTTTATTTATACAATACAGAATAAAGTACAATTATTAAAATAGGATGAATAGATAAAACTAAATAAAGGCAAGCCTGAACAAGTGGGTCTTAAGGTCCTTTTTAAAGGTATCAACATGAGTCCGTCCACGAGTCTTATGTCCAGTGGAAGCGTGTTTCACAACTGAATTTAAATGAAAGGAGAAAGAAAGTTGATTGATTGAGTAATTAAGATAAGATAAGATAAGATAAGATAAGATAAGATAAGTTAAGATAAGATAAGATAAGGAATGATAAGATGAGATAAGATAAGATGAGATAAGATGAGATAAGATGAGATAAGATAAGATAAGATAAGATAAGATAAGATGAGATAAGATAAGATAAGATAAGATAAGATAAGATGAGATAAGATCTCATCCCTGCACTCCAGAAGACCTCGTTCTCCATAGCAGATACTGCCTGCTCTGACCTTTCCTGTAGATGACCTTTGAGTTGTTAGTCCAGTCCAGTTTATCAGTCAGGTGAAAACCCAGATATGTATATCAGTCCAAGATCTCAATGTCCATTCTCTGGATGTTTGCTGGTGTATGTGGAAGATGTCTGCAGCTGTAGAAGTCCACCACCAGCTCCTTGGTTTTCCCATTATTGATCTGGAAGAGATTCTGTTGGTGCTAGTCAACAAAGTCCTCGGTCAGTTTTCTGTACTCCCTGCAGTCCCCATCAGTGATGAGGCCAACAACTGCTGAGTTATCAGAAAACTTTTTTAGAAAGCATTCGGCAGAGTTGTAGAAGTCTGTGGTGTTTATGGTGAATAGAAATGAAAATATGATTTGGCACAAATGAAGTCCATTTGTGCCAAATCATATCCGATCAAAGAAAACCCGAATGACGTGTCTCCCTGCAGATGTTAGATTTTAGGCCTGTGAGGTCTAAGTCATCATCAGGAGTGACCATGAGCAATCATAACATGTCATTTTGTTTATTTAAGTTGTTGTCCCAAGATCTGGCAAACAGGCAGTGAAGAAAACAGAAATCAGAATATTAACTTTCCCCAAAAAACAGTCTGGTTAGGGTTTGGAGCTCGTGTCAGGGTTGTCACCAATGATGGTTTAGACCTCACATGGTTAACTTGTGTGTGTGTGTGTGTGTGTGTGTGTGTGTGTGTGTGTGTGTGTGTGGTGTGTGTGTGTGTGTGTGTACGTGTTGTGTGTGTGTGTGTGTGTGTGTGTGTGTGGGAGTTAAACACACCTTCTCTTGCAGGGCGGGTTACTTTCTCCTGCCTTTCCAGCATACCTGGAGATAATGAACTCACTTATCGGTAAGCTGTCTGCTATTTAAGACTGAGGAGATCTTTCAGTCGATGCCTGATAGTTGAACTGGAAACAGTGAAGTGAAGTTGGCTCCTTCTTCAGTACTTTTCACACGCTCTGGTTTTTGTCTTCTCCCCACCTGTATCTCATTTCTGCACAGGAATCCCAGCTGTGTCTGAGTGAGTTACTGAGAGTTTTCCTCTGATGGATTCATCTGTGGGCTTGTTCGCACTAGAGTCCTGGACCCACCAACTTACTTTCCTTCTATTGTCAGTCTTGTTATTTGCTTCACTGAAAATAAACACACTGTCTTTATTCCCTCAGAGTCCTGTTCTTTTTCTTCACTCCACTCAACTGACTCACTTCACTCTATTTTAACTTTTTAACTTTTAACTCTGCTGTTGCACGGCTGCAGTGATTTCCAATCTTCTCTAAAGCATAACAGTTTATGTGTAGAGCATAAGCTTGACAACTTCATTCACAGCACTGAGCTTGTTTAAAATTTTCTTGCATCAAGTTTGAAACATTGTTTTGCACACTTTCACCCACAGCTGGAGATTTAATGAGGACACAGGGCCCCAAACAACATACAGGACACATGCATTCATCACGCTCAACAAAATCATAAACTGGCAATTTTGTTTTAAACAGTCTTTTTAAGTATTGTGAATTATGAGATCATACAACCACTGCTGTGAAACTAAAACCCCACAGCACACAAGCCCACTCTCAGTGAGTAGAAGCACAGCATTTTCTCCTCTTGTCTGGCACAGAGGAGCACAAAGAAAAAAGGAGGAGGTCCAATATTAAGACTTTTTTTTTTCCTCCTCAAAATGTTTGGAAACTATGCAAGTTATGAGAGGGAGAAAAAAAAGTCTTGCTCCCAGTCCTTCTAACTTATCTGAAGGAAATGTTGCCTAACAGTCTAAATGTAAAGGAGACCTTAAAATCATTGCATGTGTAGCCTTTTTTTTTTGTTTTTTACCTGTTTTGAACTTGCAGGGACTTTTAGGTGGAAATCTTAATCAGCTAAATGTTAATGGGTGAGGCATGCGCATTTAAACACAACGTGAAACGTGGCCTAACTCTTCTCCTTAAACCCAGACCGTCATGCTGTCCTTGTGTTCACTCGGGACACTGACAGACATTTCTGCACATGTTAACTTCAGCCGGTGCCCAAATCTTCAGCTTCCAAATACAGAAATTAACATTTCTGCTTCATACTGATACTGAAAAAGCATCAGGAGTGCGACCTCAGTCTTTTCAGTTATGGAGCTTTTATTTTCGTAATCACTCCCTTAATTACAAATAAATAAATAAAAGTGTAGTAATTGAACTTCCTAGCGAAGCGTGACGTTTTTTTACTGGAGGAGGACCTTGAAGAAAATGAGCCCCCCCCCTCTTCCTTTCTCTGTTGCTCGCTCTCTCCACGTCCACACACGCCACAGGTAGTCCTGCTATAGGGGAAAGGGAGTCAGACTGCGAGGCTTTAGGTTGCAGCATCTCTCTTTCCCTTTTCAGCCTTTTGCTTTTTGTTGTTGTTTCGGCTCCGACTCTGCTGCGATCGTTTCTGTGCGTAAAAGTTGCTGACTGCCCTGAAAGTGTCCATGCGGATACGACAAAGTTTTTGTGCCACGTTTTACAACGCGGAGTAGCATCAGTCGATTTTGTTTTGGAGTTGTTGTTTTTTTTGTCCTCCCTAATCAGGACGGATTTGTGTAGAGTGAAAGCTTCCTGAAATCTCCGAGATAATCTCCAGATATCACAATGATACTCCGGGTCCTCGCCCTGGCCTGCGGTCTCTGCTGCTTCGGTCTTACCTCTGTCATCGCAGACGTACTAAAAGCCGAGGTAAGTGAATTGGAGGTGCATTTACTTTATGCGGTGCACATTTATAGAGGCTACACGTTCATTTCTGCATGTGCAATACGAGCTGCAGCGTGTCTGCATTTTCAGGTGTTTTCCTCCCACAGTACTCGTGAAACTCTGTCTGTGTTTGCTCACTTTTTTTGAAGAGTTGAGGTTTCCATGTGCTTAAAGCACGTATTACTAATAACTGTATAGTAATCTATTACTGTGACACTCCAATGACCTTTACTCTCTATAACTTTATAATTTTTAGTTGTTTTTTTTTCCACTAAAAGCCGCCACAGTTCATGTTTATTTTCTCCTCTTCAAACAGCCTGACATTTTTTTCCAAGAACTTCCCAACCTTTATTTTTCCATCCAGGGGGAAAGAAGCCACGAGTCAAAAGTTTTCAGCAGTAAGTGGCAGAGACCCAGCAAGTGCAGTGGCTGTGTACAGTGTGGAAATCTCAGCTGAGCTGCTTTGTTCTGAGAAAAAAAAAAAAGGGGGGGGGGTACTGTGGTGGTACTAAGGGGGAGGGGGTTAATGGTTTTCATTTGCCTGCACAGGCAGCACAGATGGGAAGCTGGTGAGGCCGGACATGATGCACAGAGGTGTCAGCAGCCTGGAAATACTAAGGAAGAGTGCAGCTTTCTTCTGAAGAATTTATTCTGCCATCAGATCTCCAAAATAATTGAGTTCAAGCACCGTGGGTGGTTGTAGTTTCAGTCCATTTATGCACAACATGCCTACTAAAAGTTCCAGTTTACCATAACATCATCGGTCAAAAGTACATTTATGTGACCATTTATGGTGCAATGTCCCGTGACATTCAGGCACGCTGCAGTCTACCATCCACTTCCTATAACGGACAGGCTGCACCATTTATAGATTTTAATGTGAAATTTGAGTCATCCCAATTGTGCAAAAGAAGTAATTTCAATTTACGAGAGTGTTTTGCAGCTCTGTGCGGAGACGAGAAGCACGAAGGAGGACCTTAGTCACTGACCACAAGTTGCTGGCGTGTGAGTCAAGCCAGACAAGGTGGATAACTCAAAGTCAGACAGTTTATAGGACGCCGCAGGCTGCTGTCCCATGGCGAACACGGTGATGAATGTCTGTAAACAAAGTGAGAAAACACGGCTGTGTACTTCAGCGTCGCCTCTCACAGCTAGAAAACACCAACGTAGCGATGTATCAATAACCCTCAGTGCAAAAAGAAACACGATCGGGTGAATTGCGGCTGTCACGTCTGGCGATGGAGGCTGTGCACACAGTTTTACTGTCAGACACAACAGTCAGCCCTGATGGAGAAGAAGGATAAGTTTTAATTATAGGTTGAGGATTACATCACCTAAGATCTGTATATGAAACCTGTGATCAAACAGGAGACTCATCTGTGTGGAGAAAGTAGAATAAACTGCTGCT